GAGAAGCTAGTTCCAGCGAGGAGGCGGCAGGGCCTACAGGCCCCCGCATGCCCATCCAAGGTTCCCTATCTCCATCCACCAGGCACCCAGGCCCCGGACCTGGGGGGCGTCCTCCATTCTTCCCTCCCTTCCTTAATGTCCCTCCAGGGCACCAACGCCTCTCCTTCCTGAAGCCACTGGCTTGGACTAAGCCACCCGACCCCTCATCCCTCACCCCCTCACACGGACCCACTGCCACAGTGACCTTCCCATAAGCAAATGTAATGGCATCCACTCCCTCTTTTAAAATGCTAAAGGCCCCGGGCTCAATAAACTCAAACTCCCCAGTTGGAGGAGGAGAATCCTCCCCAGTCTTGCCCAGCCCACCTGCTGGCCTCTCACCTCACCCATGAAGACTTTCCATCAGCCTCCACTGCTTACTCCAGGCTCCTTCCGGACACCACACTTTTGCATCGGCTGTCCTGGGGCCAGAGGACCCAATGCCACCTCACCCAGCCAGCCCCTCACTGCCCTTCAATGCCCTGCTTCAATGTGGCTCCTCAGGGGCATCTTCCCTGCCTGGCAGGTTGCTGGATGCCCCAACCCCTCTCTTTCTCAGTGGACATTTCACAACTTTATGCATGCCAGGCACCATGCCCTGTTGTAACTGTATTTACATGTCTGTCTCCATCACTCCACCCGTCCTTGCCCAAACCCGTGAGCTTGGGATTCTGACTTGTCCCTTTGTGTATCCCCAGCACTTTGCCCAGTGCCTGGAGTGCAGTAGGGACTGGGTCAATGAATGAGGGATGTGGTTTGCACAGTCAGTAGAAGCGGAGACCAGTCAGGGCAAGAAGACCAGTCGGCTGGGCGGGGAGGGGCCTCGGGCAGGAAAAGGAGCAGGGCCTGGCCCTTCCTTGGCCACTAGAGCAGTGGGGGCAAGGCCAAGGGTGTCTCCCTACCCAGCTTCCTGTGGCCCATCACGGTGCATGGTGGGCCCCTGCCACCTGACACACTGACTTTAGGATGGAGGAGCTCCAGGGAGCCTTTGTAGGGCAGCCCGACTTTGGCCCTGGCCTTGGAAGGACAGGGTACGCTGATACAACCAGACACAACGGGGTACCATTTTGTATTTGATCGCTTGCTACCAGGACAGGCTTGGGCAAGGTGCTTAACCTCTCTGAGCCTGTGCTCTCACTTAGCAAAACTGAAGAGGACCCTGGTTCAGACTCAGGCGGGATTCCTGGCCCCAGGACCTCAGGCTGGAGATTGTTGCTATCTGCACCTGCTCTTCACCTCTGCCTTCCCTGTCCCTGCCCCAGTCCCCGC